GCACACTATAGCAGTGCGCCACCGGGCCGGCCCCCAAAGGTAAATGTGTAATGAGTGCAACATCATCATGGTATACAAAGCTTGGTGTAAATTCCCTCTATGGAGAACTGGAAAAACTCGAAAAAACTACTTTCCCTGGTTCAGTGTAATACCTGCATGATTCTATTTTATACTTACTGGAGTAAGGGAAAAAATGAAATGAATTAGGTGTTTTATTACCTTTGATTTCTCTCTGGAACTTTTTTGCCAGTATTCAGCCAATATAAATAATTCCCTCAGGTATTTCTCAAAACATGATAATGGTCTGAAGCTATAAGGAAAATCATGGTAAGGGTTTAAAACTAAGAAAAAAATGGGAATGAAAGCTAAGATTGTTTGAGAATGGGGGTTGCCAGGAACACCTCTAATTCAAAAAACATCCAGAGTAGAGCATGAAAGTTGAACACAGTACAGTTTGGGATCAGAGGCAATGAAGAGAGGAGGCAGGAAGCTCTGAAAGCCTGAATTCAAATTTGAAGCTCGAAATGGTTCTTTATGCTGGTGGACACCTGGTTCACTAACCAAGGACACCCTCCTGAGCTATAAAAAAATGACTGGATTCAAGGTGCAGCTCTGTAGCAACAGAACTAACAGAAAACAGGTTAGTGTATCGGGCAAATGAATGAAGGGTCAGATGGCACCTCCAGTTCTCTATGAGGGACTGAGAGAAAAGCAGAGACAGGCAGGGACCATCCCAACAATACTGTCACACACAGAATGAACAGAGGTGGCAGCAGCATCTCTGGGACTCTGCACACTGAGAGGCACAAGTCCTCCGACCTAAGACAGCAGAGCACTTTCAGAGCATAACAACTAACAGAGCTGGAGTCAGTAAGAACAGGCTCCCACTGACCTAACAGTCAGGGATGGGAGGGTTGTCAGGGAAGCAACCACGTGGAGTTGCGCTGAATCTACAGGGTACAGAAGCCCACAGCTGCCTGCACCTTTCCTGTGCTCAGCTACAACCAGAAGCCCAGTTTTCTCTGGGAAGCGAGTAGATTCGTATTCTTGCTTACATATCAAATAGTAGGGCCCCTGGCCACCAGAGGATGTGAACAGAAAGATGGTTTATGTACCTAGTCTTGGGACAAGAGAATAGAAGAAAAGGTTTTCACTTTAGAAAATAAAATAATTGACTTGGAAACATGGAGAATAAACTCAAGACATATTTGAAAGCCAAAGAATGAGTCAAATGGTGAAAAGACTGAACTTGACTCTTATCCATGTTGAAATCAACCCCAGCATGTAATTAAAGCTGAAATCGAGAAGGACTACTTACTCTGGCTCAATGGAGTCCTGCATGGTTCTTTTTACAGTTATTGCATCAGGGAAGAAAATGAAGTAAATTAGGTGTTTTATTACCTTTGATCTGTCAGCAGGACTTTTTGCCAGTATTCAGTCAATACAAATAATCCCCTCAGGTGTTTCTCAAAAGATGATAATGGTTTGAAGCTAAAAGGAAAATCAGTTATCTCTTTCTTGGTCCTCTCTTCTTTTTCTGATGTGACTTTCATTCCAGTTGTATCGATAAAAATCTCAAAAAGTGACTGAAACAAAGTTCTTACAGTATTTATCCACTGAGAGTTGTTTGGGAGAAGCCCTTTCTTCAGGAGACCTATTTTACTTAACATCATCTGGACTGTTTTTTCAAGTTCACGATGAGTTACATTCTGAATCAAAGACATATCAAAAAATAAACCTTTATTCAAATCACCTCCATAGTCACTTTTAATTCCACTGGAGGCCTCTACAACTGTTTCTATGGTTTTCAAAAGGTTATTTGGAGGCTGAACAAATGTCAGCAAAAGATTAAAAACATTCCAATCATCCTTCTTTACGCTATTCCAAAGAGCTTCTAAGGTGAGGTCACTCACCATTTGCAAGTAAGTCCCTATTTCTGTGCTGTTTTGTAATAACATTTTACCCCAAAAAATGATCAGCTCATGAATTCTGTCCCATTTTGTATCTTGAGAACCATGAGTGGAAATTGGATTAGGGTGTAAGAAGTCCATTTGGGTGGTCATGTTATTTATAGGAACTAAGCAATCCAGAATTTCTTCCCATATGTTCATAGAATCCATAGAAAATATCTGAGTTCCATTGTTAATTGTTACCACAAGATGTTCCACATCTCCCAAGTTGATTTCCACAGAAGTTAAAAATTCAGCAATTTCATCCAAAGTATCAGAAAAGTCCTTGGACTGTTTCACATATGAGAGTATGCTGGATGACATACTGAAAACATCAGATTCTTGGGAAATATTAGGTCTGACTCTAAACATCCCAAAGGCCAAGTCAAGAAATGGCATCAACAAATCATCTGCCTTATCAAACATAAAATAGTCTTTTTTCAAAGTAGTTATTTCCTTCACAAGATGTTGAACATTTTGCTGTATAATGGAATAGAGAGTGTCAAAGAATTTCATAGTGTCCTTGGCATTAGAGATGAAGTGACTTTCAAAAATTGTGGCCACATTCCCTGCAACTTTCTTGGCTAGCTTAAGAAGTTTCACAGTGGAGTCCACTGACGTAACAAGGCTCCTCAGTTCAGCACTGTCACTCAAGAGCATGCTCAGAGTCCTAGACACTTCTAAAAAGGGTTCTGGAACATGACTTTCCTCACCGGCTCTTGAAATAACACCAAGTAATCTCTCAGTAATTTGTGATATTGCTCTGTTTCTCAGAGGGAATAAATTATTTATGAGGGAAAGCAAATCAGTTAGTTTAGCAAGGATAACTTTCTGGAGTGTAGGATACAAGGTATGGAAGTGCTTATAAGGAGAGTTTAAAAGAGTATCCATAAGACTTGCCATCTCTGTTGAAATTTCTCTCACTAGTTCAAGTGCTGACCTAAGATCGTGGTTGAGTCTGAAGAGGTCTTCAGAACTATTTACAGGGAAAAGCAACTGACTCACCACTGTAAGGAAGTCCAAGTTATTTTCAGTCTTATTTTTCACTGAAGTTTCCCTTAGAAGGGCATTGAATAAATCTCCCAGGAACTCCAGTCCTCGATGACCATCAAAAGAAAATTCTCCATCTAATATAAATGAGCTTTTGATTAGATGATATATGGTCTCCTTTACACTTGAGAAAATGCTCATCAATCTGTCTTCTTTCATCAAGATAAGAAATTGGTCCAGTTTCAGAATTTCTAGAATTTTATCTTCTGGTACAAAACTGTAAAAATATATATGTATATACACTTTAATTTCATGTTAATATATTAACAGTGGAAAGATTAACATATATAGTAATTTTCGTGATTTTATTTGTTTTCAAATAGCATCATGGGCAGCTAATACTGATAAAAGATGACATGCTAAAATAATTTCAGAGTATGTATATACACTTTAATTTCATGTTAATATATTAACAGTGGAAAGATTAACATATATAGTAATTTTCGTGATTTTATTTGCTTTCAAATAGCATCATGGGCAGCTAATACTGATAAAAGATGACATGCTAAAATAATTTCAGATGAAACAATATTTTGTTACCAAATAATGAAAAGAGTGGAGGAATTTCATGGACAATCCTATTACAGTTCTTCAAATCTAACAACTTAAAAAGCCACATACTTTTGCTTTAAAAAAAAAAAAAGAAATGACTACAAAGTGATTCTTGATGTAAAAGGTGTATCTCCAAAAAGGTTTTAAATATATTTACGTATGTTTTTTTAATTTTAAAAGTACTGGCAAATCATTGGGACACCATGAAGGCTTTCTGATGTGTCAACCTGGCTAGGCTGAACAACAGCCCCAAATGCCCTTTCCAGTGTGTGTGGGGTACAGGGGAGATTTCCTCATAAGAGTTGGAGGACAGACGGAAATCAGTGGCCATTTTGTAGCATAAATACACCTTCTCCTGGCTAATGAACACGAATCTAGGTGCTGCTGTAAAGGGATTTTGCAGACATGGCTAAAGTCCTAACGTAATCAATTGGAAGGCTTTAAAAGAGGGTTTAGGACTTCCCTGATGTGAGACTCCAGACAGCAGCTGGGTATGCAACTTCTCTCCCTTCCTCCTGGATCTTACCGCCACCTTTGGACCATAAGCTTCAGCACCAGCACACAGTGTTCTTGCCTGTTGTGGTCTGCACTTCCTGACTGCCTGCCCTACTGATTTTGGACTTATTTAGCCAGCCCTCAAAACTGTGTAAGCCAATTCCTTTGATTAAATCCTCCTTCTGGTTCTGGTTTAGTGGTTGAGCCCTGACTGATGCTGACATCATAGAATAAATTGGAATTTTCCTCCAGCCTTTTCACTGGTAAGCTTCAAAAGACATGTTAAAATATACAGGAAAAAAGATAATACGACTATCAATTTTAATGGTCCAAATACAAACATCACAATAGATTAATGGGAATAAAAATATTTAAACCCCTCATTTGTGATTAGACAGTTAATACAGCACTTCAAATTATAGGCATGCTATATATGCATATGCATCTATAAAAACCAATTTTTCTGATCCATATAAAATAGAATTTCATAATTGTTTTCATAATATAAAAATGTAAAAAGGATAACATGTGATTAATTATTACAGGCTAGGTTTATAATGTTTACTAGTTAGATGACAGCAATCAAAGTTATTTTACTTTGATATTTTGATTAAATGTTCATTAAGACAAGTTCACTTCAACGATCTTTCAAAGGTATTAGGTATAAGTGCTGTTATTTCTGTATCTATACTACAGAAAATAAAGCATGTCCCATACAGAGCAAAAGTAGACTCACCTCATCTCTGCAATAACATCTTTGTGAAAGTCTTTTAGCAGAAGAGCGATTTTGCTCTCAGAATTTTCCTTTAGTAAAAGGGAGAAGACTGCTTTCAAAAGTGGTTTCATGAAATCCACTATGCTTCTTGGAGGGCAAATTGTTTTCCCATCACTTTCTGATCGTATATGATTCAAGGTGAGGTTAATGAAATTCATTATGTGAAGGTCAGTATCACTTAAATTTGGGCCTGCTGCTTGAAAATTCCTAGCTAACTTATTGATCGAATTAATTAGGATGCTTTCAAAAGGCAACTGAACAACTGAGAAATTAGTTATCTGTTCTCGATTTAGCAAATGAGTAAGAAAGGCAACATCAAAATGGCCTTCTGTAGAAATATTTTTTAGATAGCCCAAAAAACTAGTAATATCTTTAGTCAACAAAGCTATATCATCGGTTGAACTCTCATTGGTCATAAGAACAAATAATGTTTGTATCATTCTGAAGTAATCTTCATTTGCATATTCACAAAGCCAGTTTTTTGTAACCAGTAGAAAATCTTCAATAATTTCTAACATCTTCAGTGATGATGCATTCAGGATTTCCAGAAAATCAGAAAGTTGCAAAGATATGTTTTGAAGAGCCACCAAATTTACACTTTGAATTTCTTTGTTAATTTCAGAGATCAGGTTCTTGACAATAAAGTCATGGGTTAGGTCTTTCACAGTTTGTTCAAAATCAAGCCATTGATCTTCAGAGTTGTAAGTTGCTTCACTTTTTTTAGTAAAACTTGATAATGCTTCTAAACCACCTGTAAGATTTGCATTCACAAGCTTCATGAATGGAGAGAGTAGATGAGTACTATTTTCTAGGCTCCAATCCCCAGAAATTGATTTTAATATCCTTTCCAAATTTAAGGAAATATTATTTTGAGCAGATGTTTCTGTGCCTTCAATAACATCACGGATCTTGTTTAAACTAGATAGCTTGTCAAGAATGTTTTCACCTGATGTAATTTTTGTAACATTGACATTTTTTAGTTTTTCTATGATTTGCAAAGCAACTTGTTTTATAGGACCATGAGGACAAACTTCAGAGATACTGTCATTACTTTGACTTCCAGAAAGTTGGATAAATGGTAGCATCTTATGCCAAAATTCTTGCACAGTTTTCACAAGGGAGGTTCTAACATGGAAGACTTCAGACAGCTCTAGAAGAATGGAATTCCAGTCCACTAATTCATGAATTACACAGACCACTGTCCTAGTTATTTCCATTAGTAAGCTTTCATTTGAACATCTTGAATTGTTACCTGGTGGAGACAGGTGGAGGTGGTCAAGTATATTGGTAACTTTGCTATAAAAGGAAGAAGACATGAACCTGTGGACATCACAGGCTTCCAACTTTGAATTCTCCTGGAATCCAGAAGTTGTATGGTTCCAGCACCAAACCATAGGAAGACAAGTTAAAGCCTCTGAAATGACACCTGGTTTATCTGATATTAATTCAATTGTATCCAAAAGAGTTTTTATCACAACAGCAAAGTCCTCCTTGGTGATCTTTGAAATGCTTATGCCATGAAGGAGTGTGAAGTTGTAGACATCTTTGAGGGCCTCTGTGATGTTTTTATCAACTGCTCTCTGCAGGAACCTCACAGCCTGAGGAAGCACATAGTACATATCCACCACAGCATTCACATCATCTTTAGGCAACAGGCGTGAGAGCTGCAGCAGGTGATTCACATTCCAAGAATGTGAGCTGTCTACAACTTTCTCCATCAAGCCAACAAACAAGTTGAGGCCTAACTTGCCAGTACCTACTCCACTGATATTCTTAAAGAAATCCATTAGGCTTTCACTAATTTGTTCAAGCTGATCTACTAAAAGGTCTATGTCTGCCTGTCTGAGAGTGTGCATGAGAGAAGTTACCTTCTTTAGAATTTGGATATGGCCTGTATTTTGTGGAATATTGTGATAAACTGTGGGCATTAAAGACGTGAATGCATCCTTCATCAATTGAATACCAAGGCCCACAGCTTTCATTATTTCATCTAGAATTATTTTGGGTGAATTTTGGAGATCATGAGATAAGTTGAGAGCAAGGTAATTAGCTAAATGATAAATTGAATTGCCTAAATTGCTTACGTCTTTTTCCTTTGGACTGGTGGCAAGCATACTAAAAAACTCTTCAGTTTTAGAAGAGGAATTATTTTCCAGGATGTTAGGAAAAATACCTTTCAGAAGTTTCTGAATTTCCTTCCCTAGCGCTATTAAATGCAGCCAAATATTTTGAAACTGGTTAGGAATTTCGTCTGGCATTTCTATGGATTTTAGAATTAACTCCGGAAAGTGTTTCCAGTTGGATTGAGATGCAAAATCAAAGTCTCTTGTTAAGTTGTTGATAATCATCCTTACTTGGTTTGTGGAATCATTTAATAAAGCTAATAAAATCTCAAATTTTGACACCTTCTCTTTTTCAAAGACTGTACTAAGTATAATATTTAGAAAGTCTGTTATGTCTTTCAAGTAAATATTTACACAATGTATATTTGACTCATTCAACGAACAAAGAGGTCCTTTTATATTTAACACCCAAGTCATGATTTTCAATGTAGAGTTCATTTCATTTTCCTTATCCCTGAAACTCCCCAGAATACTCTGAAGATGGCCTTTTGAGAAACTTGAGTTATACATTGTGTACAGATTGTTTATGACATCCACCCATGCAATGCAGCCTTTCAGTCTGCTAATTGTGTTCTCAGAGGAAAACGCGGAATTTAAGATGGCCAGAATGTGCAATGTCCTCTGTGAAGTATTTATATACAATAACCCATCTTCTAAAATAAATTCAGTAACATTCTTGAAAACATCAACACATGATAATAAAGCGGGATCATGTGACACATTTCTAAGAAATAATATTGTTTCTCTTAGCTCAGTGATGATACTTTCGAATTGCTCTCCATAATTTGTGAGATTATTTGAGAAATGATTTACCAGATGAACATTTCTATCTATGTATTCTGAGGTATTGCTCAATGCAATGAAAACTTCAAACAGAGAATATAAAAACTCTCTGCTCGTATTTGTGTTTAATGGAAATATCTTCAGCTGATGCAGGGCAGTTTCCATGGTAAAAAGGGATTTCTCTACTTGGTCCAGGTTAAGAGATTTTGCTGTAACTGATGCATTGCCTAGTGCTACTAAAAGATCCCTGAGATACAGAAAATCATCCCAATTATGGAAGTCAACAGGTTGAGTTACATTTTTAAACAAGTTTAATATGAGTCTAGCAGCATGATGGGCAGGAAATATTTCCTGGCAGCTTTTAAAAATTTTCACATCATTTTCCAATTCATCCAAAAGCTGAGTGAGACCAACATGAAGAGGAGTGAAGACATTCATGTCAAACTTAAATATCTGAGCTATGCTTCCCCAGATTTCAGTCCACATTTGAAGCCATGAAACAGTACAGTGAACGGCCATAAACTCGTTGAATATGCTGACATTTGCTGAGAGGTTTGAAAAAATTTGTGCCCGTGGAAGAATAAATGAAGACCTCTCATCAGTTGAATAATTCACAGAAGAGACGTATTTACTATTCAAAACAAAGCATTCATCACCCAACAGGGCTTCTGATGAACCATTGAAGAATGGAAGAATAAATGAAGACCTCTCATCAGTTGAATAATTCACAGAAGAGATGTATTTACTATTCAAAACAAAGCATTCATCACCCAACAGGGCTTCTGATGAACCATTGAAGAGTTGGCTCATATACTGAAATAAAGAAATGCGAAAATCCTCATCTACTATGAGCAGCTGTTTGAGGCCTGTCAGAGTAGCATGGATCACTTCAAATTCGTGGCTCTCTGTAGACATTAGGGATTGGACTTGAAGTTCCAAATAGTTAAAAATTGAAAGCAATTGCTGACAATAAGATACTTCAGAAATTCCCCCAAGAACCCTTACTGTCTCAGATAAAAATGCAAATGCTTTACTGATGTTTTGAAAATTAAATTGCTTTATGATATCCAAAATGAGTTTTGAGATTTGTGTAACGAAAGTTAGTAAAGGCTCTCTATTCTGAATGCTCAGGAATTTATAAACATACTGGTAAAATGAAGAATAAATTTGCAGAAGTAAAGCTGAATCCTTGTCCTTGAAGACATTTAGGTATACATGGGTCAAAATTTTATCAACTTCTTGTTTTTGAGGTTCAGAAAGGGCTGAGAAAAGGTCAGATGCATTTCTTATAGCATAGACTATATCTAGAGCTTCTGAGGCTTGTTCCTGCTTCAGAAATCCAAATTCATAGAGATTATTTATTATAGTTTCACTTAAAGGTACAAAATCCATATTCATAGCTGGAGATTTAGGCAAATCTGAACGGAACAACTGGGAAAAGTTAAAGCTTTTACTAAGAATTTTATCATTTTCCAGAACAGAAGAATTTAAAAGTGTAGCCAACTTTCCCAATTTAGCTCTTTCTTCTTTTGAAATGCCATAGACCCATAATTCTAGTAGCTTGGGATTAATTTCAAAAAGTATTAATTCCATGAATCTCAAAATATTTCTTGATTTCTTCTGCATCCAGTGACTTTCAAAAGTCTGCATTTCTTCAATCACCTCTTTGCCAAATTCCAAAAGTTTCTGAATATCAATAGCAGATGCGTCTTTCTCTAAACTTTTTACGTGACTTATCCACAAAGTACTTATATTTAGAATATTCTCGGTGAGAGATGGGAGGTTATGGAATTTGAGAACACTGGATGTATCAAAAGGATTAGGCAATAATAATTTCTCCAAAAATCCAACAAATGATAAAAGAAATGTCATTTGTTCATCCTCAAGGCTATGCAACTTCTTTTCCATCATTAGAAGGTGCTTTGTGAAATTTAAGGCCCTACAATATTAATAGAATTGTTTCAGTATCAGAAAGAAAACTAAATTCTATTTATCAAATTTCCAAGATAATACCCATTTATTTATAGTAGAACATAAATGAAACACTTATTAGGCAATATATTTTCCAACAGAAATTAAACTAATGTAAGCATCTGAAAGTGTTTTAAAATTCTACAGTGCAGTTGTACATATTTAGCTTAGAATGTGTTTCCTACAATCAAAAAGAATGCATTCTAAATTATTTCCCTCAGTGAATTCATGTATATGATTGTTAAAGATAAGTTTGCTGTTTATGCCAGAAGAATATTAGGATTTAATTCCATATAACATATCAGAATGTCTTGAGCTATAGAGATAGCCCAAATAGTGGGATGCATAAAAAAAACTGTGCTTGTATGATTCCCTGTTCTGAAAGGAAAATCCAGTGCTCTTTCAACAATGTTATGACATCCCACTATTAGAAACTCATTATTTTAGATGGATTACTTTGCCTCCAGCTGTTCGCTTTTAAGATACAAAGAGTTCTCAGAAGACCAACTCAGAGGTTATGACAAGTCCACTCTTGTAATAGAAGTCCATACATGTAGAACTAACTTCTGCTAATTCAGAAGTTACAAGTCCACCTTTGAAATCCTTGGGGCTCTATGTGTTTCAGAATTCAGAATGTTCAGGCTTCAGAAAGCTAACATGGTACAGGTATCAGATATGTATTAGCACCTCCCACTGGGGACTGGGGCAGCCTGGGTCACCAACACATTAACACTTCTGCAGTGAGACCTGTGGATAGTCAGCTGAATGAGTTGTGATGCTAACCATAAGAAAAGCTTCTATTTTCAGACTTCTTAAGAGTTCAGAGTTATAGATAAGGGATTTTGACCTTTATTGGCCATTAACACCTTAAAGTTGAATTACTTTTTAACTACTTTAACTCTGTACTCCTGTTATGCAACATACCCTCTGAAATAGCATAGATACTAGACAGATCAAACGCAGGAATGTTGTTTTCCTCTCTAATAGCTAAGATCTGGGTACTCAAACAAGACAACATACATGCTGAATTTAGTTCATTGCTATTTGTAAGACAGAGTGTGTGGCTGCTTTAAACATTTCCTGGGAAAAATTTCCATTGGGAAAGAGAAAGTTCTGCTATTAGGAATTCAATATAAACCTTGCCTAAATCCAGCCCTGCATAGAAATCTATGCATAACTACTAAGCAAGTAATTGTGCATTGGTAGAGGAGAATACAAAACCATTTTTACTTATAATGAGAACTGCGAGGCTTATGGCATAGTAATAGTAACACAAGTAACAACTGAACTAGTAGTTGCACCACTATTAGTAATATTGCCACATATTTTTATATCACTTTACAATTTACAAAGAACTTTCACAACTGCAATCTTAGTTTATTCCTACAACAGCCTTTTGAGGTACACATCAATATTTTCATTTTATATAAAAAGAAATCTTTCAAAAAAATTTCTTTAATTGCCAGATTCATATTGCTATTTTATGGCATGAATAGGGCATGGCCCAGGTTTTCTCATTTTGAGTTCAGCTTTATTAATATTAACTGCACTTAATGTCCAATGTTTTTCTTATTAAATCAATATCTTATTATCAAGCATCTATTATGAAAGATACTATTTCAATGGGCCTAAAAATATAAAATTAAACATTTCATTGGAGCATACATAGACTAGTTTTGTTGCTGTCTTTCTAAGATTATTGAATATTTGAGACTTTCAGGAAAGTGAGGAATTATAAATCCGGCATGAACCAGGGATTGATTCTCCAGGGGGTCGATCTCATTGTCCTTTCTTCTGTGCCCACTAATAGCTGGGCTTAAAATGTTTCCCAAGGAGGGACAAATCCCAGGTCTAGATAGGGGTAGCAGAATGATTTTCAAACTTTGGTGTGCACCAGAACCACCTGAGAATCTGTTAAATATACAGAAACCTGGGTCGTACACACAGGGCAAGATTTAGTATGCCTGCAGCAACATGGAGCAAGGTGCAGGCATTCATATTTTTAGCAAACTTCAGAGATACGTTTGATCCATTCCCGAGTTTGAGAGCTATTGCTCTGATACAAAGCTTCTG